TAATAAAAAGTCAGCATTCAATAAAATAAAACAAATTTGGAAAATAAACTAAGCCCCAATGAGCTCTAAAGAGGACGTCCTGGCCTTTCCAATGATATCTCAAGTGTTAGGATTGGAAGAGGGGAACTGTTTTTTCAGGTTGAGACATAAAAAAAGTAAGATTGGAAGACACTTTTTTCCTTCCTCAGGAGGATATGTAGTCCTGAACTCATATGAAGATGTAGACTCAACTCCATGTTGCACTTTAATAAAGTTTTAATTAGAATCACTTTTATTAGCCAGGTATGTGCACACACACAAGGAATTTGACTCTGGTTTTACATTGCTCTCAATGCACAAATAGACCAAACATAAATAAACATGACAACAACCTCAACAAAATAAACATGAACTGTGTACAGTTATACATATATAAACAAACAATAACATTTGTAGACATGTATACAATAGTGCAGAGTGCAAAGGATGCTCGAATTAATATTTTATATGCAGGTTACTTTACAAACATGTACATGTTGACAATATATACAGTATATGCAGTATGCACAGTATAGGTAGATGTATTTGAATGATTGTATTTATGTTTTTTAAAAAGAAACTGAATTTCAACAATGATAAATAGTTTACAGGTGCAGTAGACCCAGGGTTATTCTACGGGGACAGATTTAATTTAAATTAATGGTCAAAATCAAAGCAGCAGAAGTTAATTAGACATCCTGACATCCATCAATCACATCTGTATATAAAAGGTGTGTAGAGTGTACTATTTTTTATTACATCTTGTATTTTTCTATTCTATTTTTGTTTAATATGTATTATTTTCTTGTCTATTGTGTGTTGTAGCAAGTTAATTTCCCCCATGTGGAATCAGTAAAGTCTATCTTATATTATGTTATCTTTATTTTTATTCAGGTCAAGTGCTTCAAAAACGCTAAATCCTACATTTCCCATGGTGCAGCTCATTAGTCACCTCTCTCTTACCTCCTAAATGCCAACTCCTCTTAAACACCAGTTTGTAACAAAAAAACAATTATTTTTAAGTTAATCTGATGATTATTGACTTTATTAATCATTTAGTCTATACAGTGTCATGAAATGATTAAACATGTCCATCGCAATTTGAGAGAGCCCAGGTTGACATCCTCAAACTACATTTCCTCTCAAACAGTCCAAAACCCAAAGATGTTAAAAATTACATTTAAATAAATCAGAGAAAAGCAGCAAATCTCTACATTTGAGAATCTGGAAGTTTGACATTTTTGATTGAAAAATAATTAATTGATTATCAAAATAGTTTCCACTTAATTGTTCTTGGCTGGCATAGACTAACCATTTACTCTTAACCCAAGCTGAGACATCATCAGGGTTATTTTTTACAAACTGTGCAAAAGATTTACTTTAAAGCTTTTGAATCTTCTAAAAGGAAACAGGCTTTAAAAACTTTATGTGGTAACATTTAATATGTATATTTTTTAATATTTGTTTTGTCTAAATCAACAGTCCCCTTTGGTTGCGTCTACTTTTGTCTGCATTAGTGTTTAACAGTGGTGAGAAGTAACTACATTTACTCAACTACTTTAGGCTACTTTACTTAATTTCTTCCATTTTCTGCTGTTTTATATTTCTACTCCACCAATATTTTACTCCACTACATTTATGTGACAACTTTAGTTACTTGTTATTTTCCAGATTCAGATTAAATATAAATTATTATATCAATCAATGAGACTTTATTGATCTCCAGGAGTACATTCACAAGATACTCAGCAGTATATAAAGTACTGTAAATGAAAGCCATAACACTCCAAACGCCTGTTTTAACTTTAGCCTGCTATGCACAAACTCTACCTTGTAATAATTACACATGTACAGTTAGTTATACACTGTTTTAAATATTATATATTGCACACTGCATATAGTGTATATATTGTCATTATAGTTTTTATATTTTCTATTATATTTATTATTCTTTATTATATTTTTTACACTTCTCTACTATTTGCACTACATTTCCCCTGTGCTGCTGTGTCAAACTTGAACTTCTCCCACGAGGGATCAATAAAGGAACGTTTTATCTTCTCTAATCCCAATAATAGAATAATAGCACATTATTCTGCAAAAAGAATAGCCTATTTTTACTTTATGGCACAAGTATATTTTGATGCTAATACTTTTGCTTCAGTAAAATTTGAAATGCATTACGTTTACCAACAGAGTATTTCTGCACTGTGGTGTTGCTGCTTTTACTTAAGTAAAAGATCGTCTTCCACCACTGCTATTTAAGTAATTGTCATGGACTATTGTTTTGTTTATATGTTCACTGGCCACTTTATTAGACATGTGCAACAGGATCCGCCTTAAATTATACTTTTATAAGATTATTCATTTTCTGTTTTCACTGACACTGAAACTTGATAATTAGTCACATTAAAGGGTGTTTCTAACATACACATTAACATGCACACATAATATAACTGTGGGGGTAAAAATAATTGCAGTCAGTGTCATCTCTGTTGATTGTTGTTTATTTTATGTCTTGTTGATTATTGATTGTTTATTTTATGCCTTTTATATTAAAATTAATATATGTTTTTTTTTATTGCCTGATTGCACCGTGGGTCCGAGAGGACTGACATTTCATCCATGCTGCATGTCGTGCATGTACAGCATACTTGACATTAAAGTTGACTTGACTTGACCTCCGTGCCGACAGGGGGCAGAGTTAGTCAGTGAGGCAGGAAACTTGTCGAGTCACATAAATAGAAGAAGAGTTCATTCAGCCATTACATTCACTCACAGGCAGGTCGAAGCCGAAAGTGGAGGACAGGTCATTAGCAACCCGAGAAAATGTTATCCGTGAGAGTTGCAGCAGCTTTGGTCAGAACCCTGCCAAGAAGGGCCGGATTTGTAAGTATTGCAGTTAAACAATCTGCATCTGATCCGGATGTTTGCCAGCGAGTGTATTTAATCTGAGTGTGGACCTTGTGGGCGTGAAGGGTAACGTGAACGCCACAGGCCGCTAGCTCACTTGTCATCGACTTATTAACGCGGCCTTTAATGCTACTGCTGCGTGCTGGGTGTTAACTCGCCGTAGAAGTGTAGAAATTGTTGATTTGAACGCGTTTGTTGGAGTTGCCCTTGTGAAACGACAGTCATCGTCCCGCAGCGCTGAGGTTAGCACTGGAGCTACCGCTAGTTCCAAGCTAACCGCTCATTGAGCCACGCTTTGAAGGTCAGAAAGCCCGACAGCGTACGTCGTCTCCGCTGCACCGCGTCCAGCCGGCCCAGTTATCAAAGTGCACATGTAACTGTCGCTGCAGCATGTTTTTAGTGACCTGTTTTATTCCTAATCGACGTTTACTGAAATCCTCCTGTCATTGACTCAGGTGTCCAAGGCTGTACCGGCCGCCTGCATTGGGGTCAACCACCTCCACACACACAGACCATGGCTGCAGAAGACAGGTGAGAAAGCCAATAACAACACGATAGAAACGGTGTCCTCCACATTATGGGTCAGCACCCGAAGGTGATTGATGAAGGTCATCGATCATATTTTGTTCCCAGACTTCGACTTTGTCATTTCCTAACAGAATAACATTGTACAGGATTACACAGTGAGTGGATTAACTATCATTAGTGTTCATAAATGCCACTGTGAAGACTTATGAAAAAGTAAACAAAGGTAGGGAAATGAAGGCACTGTCAGTGGTTAAATCTATATATATATAACCACTTGTGTATATAAGAAAAGCCCAAATCACTGCAATGTCACAATAACTTTGACTTTAAGTTGATGATATGTTACTTTTGTGTTAGCCTGTACAATATTTATTCCAAGCTAATGGTTGGTGATTTGATCTCTGAGGAAGAATCTTTTATTTTTTTTTTGTAGAATGACCCCTAGTGACCTTATGTTAATAGTAAATAATAGTTAATAGCAAAAGTTGTATGCATTTAATTTATTATTTAAATAAGCCCAGGAAGACACAGTATTAGTAGATATATCTGTATTTTAATCAGAATCCTAAATGTCCTCTAGTTTCATTTTGACCTTTATTAAATGAATCAGGGACGATCCAAGATATTTTTTATTTTTTATATCAGTTTTTTCATTGTGGGTGGCTAAGAAAGATTCTGCACGCATGTCGTCTTTCACAGGCACAGCCGAGGTGTCCTCTATCCTGGAGGAGAAGATCTTGGGAGCTGACACCTCTGCAGACCTGGAGGAGACAGGACGTGTGCTCTCCATTGGTGACGGTATTGCCAGAGTGTACGGGCTGAGGAATGTCCAGGCAGAAGAGATGGTGGAATTCTCCTCTGGACTGAAAGTATGTAGAAAAAGACATCAATTGATTTTAACTTGTGTTTTGAATATCATGAAAAGTGCTCAATAAATAAAAACATTTCCCAGGCAACCTTCAACACTGAACTACATGTACATATTCATATACAGTCCATACAGGTAACTTGTCGTCTTGAATCGACAAAACTGAAAGAAAACTAAAGTAAAATGCTCCAGATCCTTAAATTTCCAGCATCTTCAATTGAGC